ATCTGTAAAGGCAAATTAACATCACCTCATAATAATAGATTTATATCAATAGTAACCAGTTCAAGAGTGAACAAGCGATTAAAAAAGAGTACTTCTTGCATTGGAATAATTTTTGCATGCAAAAAAGAAATGGTACACATCTTCATTTTTTCCACATAAACATAAGGGACTATTTATAATGTTTCGTTTATAAAGATCATAATTTAGCATACAAAAATGTCTTAGCTTAGTATGAATGGTATTGGTGTATCGCTTACCAAAAGAGAAGTATGATGGTGGATTTTTAATTTTTGTTATCAAGTTTTTTCGGAATGTTTTGATTGAGATGGCTTCTCTGACCTCTGTTTTTAGTAAATTCCATTGTTTTGCAGCATCAGGTACGAAAGAATTTCTAAATAATTCTAATCTACACCTTGGAACAATATAATCTTGTTTATTACGGGTATTGTATAGGGATACATGCTCACGCTTATTGGGGACAATATCATGCAAATACTCAGGTACTCTTCCCGTGTGAATTTTGAACATAGTTGTCATTTTTGCAATATATCGCCTGGTTTTTAAAGTTTCCCAACCAGTTTCAAAATAAAGTGCTTCTCTAGACACAAAAATAGGAAGTCCTGTTACAATTCTAGCGGCGGTTAATTGTACTTTTTCAAGCTTTTCCCAAACAACTGAAGCATATTCAAGCATTGGTCTGGTAAACGTAATATACAATTTTGATACGTTTTTTCTACCCATTTTGAACTTCAATTTCTTTAAGAGGCCTAGTTTTTTTTTTATAAGCACTGTTTACAACACCATCAATATATTCTAACCAACTAAGATTTTGTGACAATAGTAAACCCAAATGGCGATGGACTGGAACACACTCCAGTCTATCGCCTTTAAAAAATAGCTTAGGCATAACAGAAATGTTTTTCTTACTGAAATAAACGACCTTTGTATTGGATGGATTGAATTTAAGATGACACTTGTTTGACCATAGTTCCAAATTATGTAAATTATGATTCAATTTGTATTCCATATCTAATATATTGTATGATGATTGTTAAAGGGAATTATCATCCGCAAAAAATCTACACATTGAAATCATATTTTTAGCAACATCATTAATATAAATGAGAAATAATAGTGGTCCTAAAACAGAACCCTGAGGTACACCTGCAAAAATATCTTGTTTTGATGTTAACAGATCCTTATACATAACTTTTTGTGACCTTTGACATAGATAACTGGAAAACCAATGGAGAAGATCACCAGATATACCATAAGTTTTTAATTTAAAAATGGGACCTTTGTGCCATACTCTATCAAAAGCCTTTGAAAGATCACAAAAGACCATACAACATGATTTACCATCATCTATGTTTTGAACTATACTATGATACGTTTCTAGTAATTGATATACAGTTGAATGACCAGGTAGGAATCCTGCTTGGTATCGATAAAATAAATCATTAATATGAAAATAATTGTACACGTGTTCAAATATTATTCTCTCCATAATTTTACTAACAGAGGATAATAACGATACAGGTCTGTAATTGGAAACCACAGAACGGTCATCCTTTTTGAAAAGAGGAATAACGTGCTAATTTCAAAAACGATGGAAAAACTTTTTCTGACAAAGACCTATTGAATAACATAGTCTGTGGTTTAATAACAGTAAAAAGAGTGGATTTTAACATTTTATGGCTAATACAATCAGGACCAATAGCTTTGTTCACGGGAAGTACATGTATTGATATTATTTCTAATACTTCTTGTTCATCAATTTCAATGTTGCATAGTGTGTCATTACACATATAATCATTTGTGGCAGTGTTTCATTAGAGTCATCAATAGAGGAAATCGAAGAATAATACGAATTTAATGCTTCAATCTTGTCTAAGTCGGAATAAGCTACTTGTCTTAAACCGTCATTAAATATTTGTATTGGTGCATGGTATTTCGTTAGATAATTTAATATTAAATGAATCTTTCATTAACTTCCAATATAACTTATTGTTATTTTTACTTGAGTCTTCCAAGTAGGTTTCTATATTATCATAATACTTTGAAATCGCGTGCTTTTTCATATTGTTAACTGAATTTCGGACTTTTCTATAAGCAGACCTATCGGAATCTTATTTAGTTTTCTGTGCTTTGTTACGAAGACGGTTTCTAATTCTTATTTTTTTTTTTACGTAACATTGAATCAAACCATGGTTTGTCACGAGGGCGAATGGTTATAGTTTGTTCTGGTATGCATTCACGAACACAGGAAAGGAATTCCAATGTAAAATTTTCATCTGCAAGGTCTATAGATGTGTTTGATCCAGTCACAATTTTCGATAAGAGAGTTTAATTTTTTTAAATCTGCATTTTTATAAGCCCCACTTTACGCTTGTACGAACGATTATAATTTATACTGGAAGAAAGCGAGCTATACGTTGCTCTATGGTCACTAACAGAAGCGTCAATTGTTAGAGTGCCCGATTCGCATACTTGAGTGTCAACAGATGTAAGAATTAGGTCAAGGAGCGTGCTGGACGTGTGTGAGATTCTAGTCGGTTCATGGATATTGTTAACAAGATTATGTGTTGAAATAATTTCACGAATTATGTGTGTTTGTGGAGCATTAAGAAGATCAACATTCAAGTCACCTACTATTAGTATTTTATCCGAAAGTTCGCCTACTTTGTCAATGTACCATGTGAGTTTTGTCCGAAAACTACTATCCGAGTTTGGAAGACGGTATATGCAACATAAAAAGTATTTACAGGTATTGTTATCTTTTTCAATACATATACTCTCAATGTCAGGGGGTTCAAATTGTTAGATAACAATAATAACAGTGCAATGACTATGACTTCAGTCGGAAAAGTTGGCGGTGGAGATGTAGAGCCAAGTTCTGCTTGGTTTTTCATAAGGAATAACGTACGTGTATAAAGACTGTGTAACTTGACAGTTTTGTTGCAACTTTCTTTTTCATTCCACATTTAAAACATTAACATAATTAAAAAAAACAAAACAAAAAAACCAACGAACTAAATATTTCACATCCACTCTTACAACTTTGAAAAAAAACATGGACTTTATGTGTGAAATAATTATAAACAGCAAAGAGTAATGAAATTACCAATGCTATACTAGAATACCTCATTCATGACCTCAGGCCATACAGTACCATTGAAAGTAAAGTTTTCAGGTAAGTTATGTGAGATTGAGCAAATTTATCTAAACTCTAAAGGTGTATTTTTGTAAATGAATCTTTTTAAAGTGTTTTAGCATTGTTGATAAAACATTGTTATAAACTTATAATGCATGTGATGATGTGAAGTATTTGTGTAAACTTAGACTCATTCATTAATCATTTTATATTGCAATACAGACAATGCTATTCTAGAATACCTCATTCATGACCTCAGGCCATACAGTACCATTGAAAGTAAAGTTTTCAGGTAAGTTATGTGAGATTGAGCAAATTTATCTAAACTCTAAAGGTGTATTTTTGTAAATGAATCTTTTTCAAGTGTTTTAGCATTGTTGATAAAACATTGTTATAAACTTATAATGCATGTGATGATGTGAAGCATTTGTGTAAACTTAGACTCATTCATTAATCATTTTATATTGCAATACAGACTATCGTCCAAATTTTTCAATAAAAATTCTAAGTGGCTTTAAAAAAATAAAAATTACTGACACTTGCTGAGTATTCTCGAACCACGTTACCAACCACCCAATAGACAGAAGGTTGGTGACGTCTTGATTCTAGCTCTGTACGAGAACCAGAAGCCCAAGCTATTTGCTGAGTTTCAGACAGCGGAAGCAGTGTCACTCACCACAGATGCTTGGACTTCCCGTGCTACTGCATCGTATCTGACCATTACGTGCCATTATGTTGACAAAAACTAATTGATGCTTTCTAAAGTTCTCCAAACAGAACATTTTCACGGTTTTCATACCTGGAGAAAATGTTGGTCTCGAATTAACAAACTGTATGATAAACTAGGGTATAAAAGACAAAGTAGATGTCATAACCAGTGACATTGCCTCAAATATGACTGTCGCAATTGAACTTGCAGGTGTTCCAAAATTAGGATGCTTGGCATGCAGAGAGTGCTGGCCGAGGTAAGATCTTTTATTACTTTTTTTCACAAAAGTAATACCGCTACGGAGGTGCTTCGAGAAAAGCAGACAGGTTTGCAACTACCACAACACAAGTTGATCAATGACTGTAAAACTCAATGGAATTCTACATGTCAGATGCTGGAGAGGTTTCTAAAACAAAGGTCAGCTGTTCTTGCTGCTCTTCTTGATGTTAGAATAAAGAAGATCTTGTGTGAGGAAAAGACAACCGCTTCAGGGCTCATACTACCACTCCTTGAAAAAATTTTACAACACTTTGAGAGGAGAGGATGACTCAGCATTTGTTTGTAGCTTGAAAAATGCTATTGGACAAAAACTTGCGCTTCGCTACAAAGATCCTGATTTGTGGATGTTTTTAGAGGAATCAGGTGCGCTGGATCCTAGGACAAAAAATAAATCATGCATTGATGATATCACAGGGAAAGATTTACTGATAAATTGTCATCGATGGACTATGATTACAGAACAGTTACTATAAAGACTAAACCCAGTGAGGCTGAGAAAGGTGTGCCACTCCCACTTGACCCTGTTGCAGCAGCAAGACCAGTTTTGCCTAACTTACCTCAGTTGCCTATGCAGTTTGAAATTACTGCTAATGAAGAGAAAGTTGTTGTTGCTTTTATCCATTTATTTACCTTGACTTTATTCTCTTTTCGCTAGCCTGTAACTTTACAGACAATGCATTGTAACGTCACTTTTTTTTACCCGGCTCAAGCAATTTACATCCAGTTTTTTAACCAATAAAAACGCGTGTTACAATGTTCATTGAAAATAATTGTTCATATCTAAAATATTTCCAACCATAAGCTCAACACAAGGACTGAAGATAAAATACAAATAATTTGAAACAATTGCCTCCAATTTCAAAAAAGCAGGGGAAACAATATCAAGAGTAACAAAAGAAATGACAAATACAATGTAGATACTCCATTTCCAACGTGTCTTCGAACCCAATCCCAATTGATAGAGTTGTCCATACAAACAGTCGGTTGAATAGAGTGTAGAAACTGCATAGATACTCTCAAAAAATCTTCCCCACATTCAAAGGCTTTCAATATTGTCTCGGCGCAGCTGAACTCTGTGTCTAGAGATCTGTAAGTTGCAAAATATATTTAGAATTAAAGTTGTTCTGTCATTGATATTTGACAGATATTTCGATTGGATTGTATTAATGCTTCATAAATCCAATCTGACTGTCCTTATTTATCTTTGTAGGAAAAAGTTTTATCAAAGTGTTAATGTCCGTAATACTGTTCAAATTTCAAGGAAAATACTTCAGTTTATTACAGACATATAATTCTTTTCAATTCTTGTCAAAAATATGGTGACTGCAAAATTATTTAAAACCATATATCACATAAGTAAAAAAAGGTAGAGGTTAAGATGAGTTCAACACCGTTCATAGAATTTCTTAAGTTGCAAGTCCGTTTGAAATAATTAGAATCATTGGACTTGTCCAGCAGCTTTCACTTCTTAATCGAAATAGTGTCGCATGTACACATCAATACACTTTTCAAGCCTTTCCAACAATCCAAAAAAACCTAAAAATGTGGGTCCATACCCCTTTTTTCAAAGTAGGAACACCTCTTAAATTTCGTATTTGAAGAGTCTGGAGTGGAACTTAATTTAAAGTTACGATATAACACAAAATATACTACAGAAAAGACGAACAACTCTGTGTAGATAATCTAAAATCGATGAAGCGACTCAATTTTTTTTTTTTTTTTTTTTTTTTTTTTTTTTTTTTTTTTTTTTTTTACAAATTCGAGCATTCGACAAACTTCAGATGATCCCGCGTTCCTCAGTAAGGTAAGGACCAGCCGAGGTGTGTTGAATGCACATTGATGAGTTTTTCTGAGCTTAGCCGGAAAGGCTAAAAAGGTTCCGATTGCTTTGGAAATAAGAGGTTTTTTATACTTAATAAGATTCCGTGTGGCGCAATGGTTAGAGCGTTTGCTCTAGAGTCGTGGCGTAAGGACTTGATCCTGAAGTCGCGGGTTCAAATCTCACTGCGGGACGTGGAGCCCGGTCCTTCGGATGAGACCGTATAAATCGAGATCTAATTTCGCAATAGGTGCTGGCACGAAAAAATTCTCTCACTGATCCTGTGTGCCGATTTATAGGTCTAAATTTGCAGCCGTCCACCGTCAAATGGTGGCATCTCGATATGAGTGAAAAATTCTCGAAGAGAACATTAAACAAACAGACAAAAATAGTGTTAATGTGTCAAACATAGCATGTTTTTATCGAATCTTGCACTATATTTGGGATTAAAAAAGACTTTGCTTTGAGAAAATGACAAAGTTGACAATGTCAGGAGAATAGTGGACGGTGTTGCAAAAATTGCTGGCACTAGTTTGAGGGAACGATTAAAGCCCAGGAGAGGTTTAGCTAAAGGGTGTCTCATAAAAACAAAGATGGCGCCCGTATGGTTGTAACCCCGCCGTACTTCGATATGTTCGAACTTTTGAACTCATGCAAAATAAATAAGATTTTACCTGGCAATGAAACACAGATTTATTTTTTTGAGTCCAAACTCAAAAGCAATAATGAGTTTTGGATCGCCGAAGTTGAAATAACATGAAAAAATACGCACAATAACAAGTCAGAAGGAAGATTTTGTACGTTTATTCATAAACGGCAAGAGTCCTGTTACTCAAGATACATTTGTGGAAAACTGCATTGTTACACTTGTTGTATGCAGAATATATAATGTTTAATACAATAGAAAGCTAAATAATAGACCGAGAGTCCAGCTATATCATGTAAATTAATATCTTTTCTGAATGTCTATGATAACATAACCGGTCATAAACCTTGCTTATAAACCAGCCATAAAATGCAATATGGAATTGCTGATTTATACTTGTAGTACCATTCTTACAGTTTAGCTCTATGCAAATTTTATTTGAAAAATCTTTTCAAACAAGCCTTTTACAGCCCTTTTCCGATGTTCTCAATGGGGAAAAAATCGCAACATTTCAGTATGTTAAACACGCGAGATTCTTACATAATTTTCATAGTTATTGCGTCATAAAAACAACAAAGTGATGTCAAAAGAAGTGCGAGATTTCCGGCTCTTTTGAATGATTATTATCAAACTGATCTACTTACTTTAAACAATTATTATTATACCTCATTATTATAATTCTATACAACGCGTTATCTGATTGGTTCTAGATTATCACGTGACAGGGCCATAAAACTTCATATTTCCCTGTGACAGTCGTTATCATGCTTTTCATCATATTCAACATCTTCGGAGACCTAGTGCATTTTCCCGCAATAGTTATTGTTCATTGAACGAAAACTTTCGAGAGTAGTAGACGTCACAATATCCTGCTTCACGTCACAGAAGTGCTGAAGTGTTTTCAGTAACTTTACATTAAAATTGAAAGTGAATTTGAGAGCGGTGCCGAATTTGAAAGTTTATATCTATTTTTAAAGTTTTTGCTTGTTCCGGTTTAATAAACAATTTATTGCATGAGTGTTCGGGAAACATGAAGATTTATTCAGCTAAGAAATATCATATTCCACTCGGGCGAAGCCCTCGGGGAATATCATTTTTCTTGGCTGAATAAATCTTCATATTTCCCTCACGATCATGCAATAAATGTATAATATTTTATCAAACAGTTCTCAAAACTCTTCAAAAGCCCCTCGTAATTTTCTTGAGAAAGTAATTTTATGACAAAGCTAATCTTGCATTTAAAACTAGATACTCGTGGTCTTCCGTCCGAATAACCGTATAAACCAATGTCCCGTGTCGCAGTAGGTGCTAGCACGAAAAAGATCCCCCACTGCTCAATGGCCGTAAGTGCCGAGTGTAGGACAGAATCTGCAGCTCTCCACCGGCAAGGGGTGGCGTCTCCAATTGAGTGAAAAATTCTCGAGAGGGACGTTAAACATACAAACAAACAAAAAACCATCCTTATATTATGTGATATTCTTTGTATGTAAAATTATATGTATATGTGTTCGTAGTAAAGACACCTTGAACGTGGGCCTTTAAAAAATACCAGGATTTTAAAGGTTTTTTTATAATTAAAAAAAAATGGAAATGGAGAATTCACACAGAAAAAAAGGTCACATGTAAATTTAAGTTTTAAAAAAATCGACATAGGATTAAACCCAGATTGCCTGCGTGAAAAATTAATATGGAAACCACTATACCAGCGCGATGTACCAGCCATCATCGATGTTTATTTGCACTCATTGCCTGACGTAAAGAGTGTCAGTCAGGTTAATTTTTTTTATTGTGCAAGTAGATTCACGTCGGAATTAGTTCCTTGAGTTTTAGCAATAACTGTTAGCAGAAGAAATAATCTGTTACCGATGAAAACTATTGATGTGTTAACTTTATTCTGTATGCATTCATTTTTTATTCCATGCAATTCCAAATACAGACATGTCCGTATAATCCTTTTCTACATTTCTATACTACTGCATTAGTCCATTTGTCTACTATGAAAGGGACATCATCAAACGTCATGATTAAATCTTCGCGCCTGTTCTTTGGAATCTATTGAATGGATGTGATAGTTCAATGAAATTTTATTAAAAAGTTTGTTCTTATAGCCTGATTTTCGGGCTTCAGAATGTATATTTTTATTACATTGCACATATAGCATATTGTGTACGGACAAGTAATGCTAAAGCAGTGAATTCGAAGTCGCTAAGTTTTCCTACATATTTTATTTTCCTGTTTATCCCAAAAGTGGGGTTATTTCAGTAAGTAACACATTCATGAAAAGACTGGAATGTTTAGCAACAAAATATGTCTCGGCCTACGACGATCAAGGAATCTGATACCATTTTTGTTCAGTAACTTGCATCTATAAAAAATATTTCTGTCAACTTCATTAAACAATTTTTACCATAAAAAATAATTTTCTTATTTTTGTCGTTTTTCCATTCATTTAATATGACACGAGCTCAGTATGGGAAAGAAACATTTCCCACGTCATGAGCGTCAGGCAGTATAAGTTTCAATTTGTTCCATGGTCCGAAACTAAGAAATCATATTTAGTGAGCTAGATTTTGTGCAATCGGAATTTGTTACTTGCATTTTAACAAAAACAGCTTGCAGAGGAAAGAATCATATTACTGAAGCAAAATATTGATGTGTTTACTCCCTTTAGTTTTTTTTTTTTATGCACCTGTTTATTCTTTGCGATTCCCTATACGGACATGTCCGAGTAACTAGTTTTTCTGCGATTCTAAACTATTGGATTAGTCTATTTGTCTTCTACAAAAGGGGTGATTGAAATAAATGAAGTTTTTTATTTTACCCTCATTCTGAAGGTTCAGATTTTTTAAACTGCAAATTGTATCTCTTTTTTTTAATAACATCATACCATATAACATACGACGTCTCTATATGAATGAAAAATTATCGAACGGGACGTTAAACAATATACAATCAATCGATCAATCTTTAGTCTACATATATTTACGATATTTTTTTTCAATAGACTCCACATCAGCAAGCGAAATAGTGTGCAGTTTTAGTTTATAATGATAATCTTTTGTCAACATTTGGTTAACTGGTTTGATACATTTTGCCCTGCATCTAACATTGTCGAAATGTCATCATGCACGTCCATATATGTCCTTACTTCTTATACATGCCCGTAGTTCGCGACCAGGGGGGGGGGGGGGCTGCTCCTTTTTTTAAATAATTTCTTTGATATACTTTTATTATGTAAATTGTCATTTTGAAGCTGCTTTCCCCCTAACACTTTTTATTGCTGGACGTTGAACACAGACAAATTTCAGCATTCACATTTTAAAAAAAATGTGCCGAGAAGTTAGAGTTACAGAATGCCCCCCCCCCCAACTATAAAAGAGGATTTTTGAGTTTTTTGGGGCTTGTCAACCCCCCTCCCCCTTGAAAAACGTTGCCATAGGCTGTTATATAAAGTTTGTGAAGAAAAAAAATGTTATACTGAGTATGTTTTTAAAATCCTGAGATTAATATTATTATTAATATTAATATTAATCCAACAATCTATTGGAATTCCTATGGGTACCAATTGCGCCCCGTTATTAGCAGACCTTTTTTTTTGTATTCATATGAAGCAGAATTTGTC